CACCAAATGTTTATAAGTTCTCAGCAGCGCGAAATTATGATGAATGTCCAGTTGGATTGACATAAAAAAAAGCCACATGAATTCTGATCGGGCTGTTCAGAGTCGCATTGCTGCATATCGAATACGTATCAGACTTCAGTACCACATATGAAAACGCCTCAAATCGGAATTAAAAATGTCAGATTCAATGTGTTTTTTGCTGTTCACTCTGCCACACACACATCTGTGTCACATATGAAGAAAAAACTTGGATTTAGGCCACTTTTACTTGCTGTGTGAACAAAGCCTTCAAGTAGATAAAAAAAAAAAATGATTTTGCCTCCTATGCAAGTGGTGGACATCCAGAACAAGACAGATCCAGCCAGTGACAAAGAGCCAAAATGAGGCCTTTGAGTCACAAACAAAACCTGAGGTTGAGCAGGGTAAATGACTTGTTCGTGTATGAATGACAGATGAAGAAAATAAGGTACAGCAACATAAAGAAGACTGATGAAGGACTGGACTGGCTCAGTATGTGTAACAAAAAAGCCTAACAAATTCTCTGATAGACAGGTTCTGAGAAATAGCTGTGGATTGAACAGAAGCCTGGGTGCGTTCTGAAAAACACAGGACTGAATGAACAGAAAGAAAGGCTGCCTGACACAAAGCAAAGTCAGGTTAATTGCTCAACGTCCTTGAATACCGCAGTTTGAATACTGCAGCCTTGTTAACATAGCCTGGAACTGTAAACATGCATTTATTCTGTGGAATTTTTATAAAGCAAAATGGTATATTTTTCTATGGATGCATCTAGGATGGTTCCTTCACCTACTAAGCAGCTGCAAGATGGTCAGAGGGGTTACAAAGTGCAGGGTGACAAAACACAAGAGTGACAAGAGGTAACTGATTTGTTAATGTACATAAATAAGATGTGACAGATAAGGCCTCAGTCTGAGTGAGAAAAAGACATTCTCTGAAATTAGTTCTGAGAAATAGCTGTGGACTACAGTCCGACTGTGTCCTGAAAAACACTCCCAAGAATGAAGAGAAAGACACACTGCCTGACACAATGCAGAGTCAGGTTAATTGCTTGATATCCTTGAACACTGTGATTTAACTCCGCAGCCTTGGTAACAATGTCAAACTGTACAGATGATTCTTTTTTTCACAGCAAAATTGTTCTAGGATGTTCTATGTTCTGGACAGCTTATTCACACACACAGAAAGTAGCTTGTTGATTCCCGTTGAAAATCCTAAACAGTCGTAGGCAAATCAGAGAAGTCCTGATCAAGTTTTTGCCCCTGTGCCCTTTAATATAGAGCAGGGGTGTCAAACTCAACCACTAAAGGGGCCATATTAAAAAATCTCAACAAATCCGTGGGGCAGCAGTGTTTTTACTTTATCGTTACTTAACATCTCGCCATGACCCCAACTGGTCATTGTTCTTTCAAAATACGCCGGAAAAAAATAGGCACTGAATATCTGAACGACTCAAAAATCATTTTAATTAAAAACAAATTGTTTTATATAAAACAATAGACTACATTAGCTGCAGATAAGTGTTAGACCTCTTTACATGTCCCCAATGTACAGTACGCTTGGACTTTTTATTTTTGGTGCTGTCCCACAGATCCTTGTTGGGGAGGCGGTGGATGCACACATTACGTTACAGTGCATGCTGTGACCTGTAGTGCAGCTCATGGTGAAATAGGCTAATATTAATAGAAAATTAAAAGTAATTTTGCGGGCTGAATAGGATTGTGCCACGGATTGTGTGACTTGGCCTGTGGGCCTTGTGTTTGACACATGGGATACAGAGGATCTGTTAATAATCAAGCCCTAAAACAAGATCTTTCCCACCAAAACATTCTACATGGGTTTTATTTTACTCTAGCTTAGAAAACAAACATCGCCAAATAATAATGATAACACAGATCATGTGTGCATTTCACAGCTGCATCACAACATATTTTGCACCATGTCACCATGTCACATATGTAGATGTAGTCCTGAGAGATTAACAGTGTTATTTTCATGGTAAACAAATTTTTTGTGCATATTCAATGCTTGTGCCTCCATCTAATAGCTGTGTTTGCAGCTATTGTTAAAGTAAATCCCTCAACAATGTCTTCTGAGACATGCAAATTTACTGGTGGACGAAAATCAAAGCAAAATGGTCCACCGAGAGTTGCACAAACTTCAGTAAAGTGAGCAGAATATATAATCAGCTGCACATGTAGTACCTCCAGTTCATCCTCCCACGTTTTGCAAGGCAATCCCTCAAATGCATATTCATGAGGAAGAGAAGTACAGTTTGCATTTTTCCATATACCAGTTTTGTACATAATATGTGGGCAGAATGCGCCCAATTTGCACCTGAAACTGGCACAAAAGGTTTAGCACATCAAGCCAACAGTGCGCCCTTCAAGTTGCTCAGTCAGTCAATCAACTCTGCTTTCATGTCTTTCCTTCATAAGAAGAGGTGGACCCCCTGACCATGGCAGATCTAGTCAAGTCAAGTCAAAGTTTATTTATATAGCACTTTTTACAACAGGTGTTGTCACAAAGCAGCATTATAGAAAAATCCAGCTCCAAGCCCCCATGAGCGTCACCAATGGCAACAGTGGCAAGGAAAAACTCCCTAAGAGCAAGAGGAAGAAACCTTGAGAGCAACCAAGACTCAAAAGGGGAAGCCATCCTCCTCTGGTCGACACCGGGTAGCAAAGAATAACATCTAGGGCTTCACATAGAGGTCTTAGGCCACAGATGAGACTGGATGTCTTCCACTGGTGTACAAGCAGTACAATTCTCATATGAAACTCCCAAAGAGTCAGGGACAAATCTGTGTCAGATAACGACGCTGTAATGCACTGGCCTCATATGTTCACATCAGAGATGAACAGAGGAGTCTTTAAAAGGCACAAGGGAGTTCAGGGGATGAGAATCTTTAACATTCAGATGCTCATACTCGGCTTCATCAGGGAAAGAGGTGCAGCTTTTCATGAGCTCTTCAACCTTGATAATTAGAGAGCGCTGAGGGATCAGTCTCGCAAAGTACAGTGATTGATTTCGCTAATTAAAAACAGGCTTTGAACCATAGCCTTTTCTCTCTTCCCATTTCATTTCGCTCAAAAGGGAAACGTGAAAATGCCATGGAATAAGCAAAACAAGACGCCCACAACGAATCAGTGCGATTACACAGCTGATGTTTTTTAAAACTGTGCTCATCACAGAGGAAAAGTGCGCTAATTATAAAAAAGTATAGACAGAGAGGAGAAAATTACAGTTTGAACTGGAGTAGCGTGAGGTGAACCGTATCACTATTAGAAGCGATAGTTATCAGTGTTTGTTTTTTTTTTCCTTCAAAGAACGTTGGGGTCCTTGAGCAGGCCTGCTTCTTTTTCAAGGCCAGTGTGCTAGAGAAAGGGTGAACATCCTCTTGCATGAACTTAAGCACCTAGCTCAAGGGCACAACTGCAGCAGTGAGCATAGCATAGCACAGCGTTGCATAGCATTACAGCCTAGAAACAATCAATATCAACCCAAGTCACCTAGGAATGTTTTGTGTAGAGTCAGACAGGGCATTTTGTATTTGTTTAATTGTGACGATGAAAATAAACAAATTGATGACATCTATGTAAACCTGAATGTCTTATCAGTTGCAGTCATCATTCTAAAGCTTTCTTAAAAATTATTTGAATAACCATCGACCTGTTAGCAAGCATTTTTGCTTGATAGGATGGAAACGTTTCAAGATCATTTCAAAAGTAGGGAAGAGCAGGGCACAACCTAAGGTGGCGTGAAAATTAACTTGGATATTTTATGCAGTTAAACTAAGGAAACATATTAGTAGCAAACTAACAACATGTAAAACAGCAAACCAGTTTGCAGGTTTGCATTTAAATTTCCCACTCCTATATCGCTTCTGTCAGAACAAAACCTTGTATCTCCAAAACGAGAACTTTACAGTAGAAGGAAAAACCGACTTTACTTTTAATGTAAGTGAATGGAACTAGACCTTTTTCAGAGTCATTTTAGGTCATTTCTTTTGGTCCATCATCATGAAATTAACACATAAACATGCTTTTGGTCATCTTCTCGTACACACATAGCAATACTACCTGCATACACTCTCAAGGCTGTTTTTGTACCATAAAAGGAACTCTTTTGATCATAATCATAGGCATTTTTGATTACTGGACTTCGTGTCCAAGTCACAGAATTCATAACTATATTATTTTAACCCCTTAAAATCCCAGGCTTATGACATACTAAGGCTTATTGTTCAGTAACTTCAGGGACTTTAATGTAAACTAGCTGAGCTATTCTTAGGTTTTAGAAGTGTGTAATAAAACTTTGGGGCTGTTAGTGGGGCCTGGGCATGTGAGGGGTTTATCACCCTCTTGATGCCTGTTCTGAAACTATATTACAAAACGAGAGCTAGCCAGGCTAAAGGACGGCCTCCACAGGGTTAGTTGTAATGCCGTTTAACAACAAAGTCTCCTACAGTAAACAATGTGAGAAGTCCATATTTTCCCCCATATAAATTCAAAACAGTCATTTTTTGGAAGTTTCTATGAACAGATTCATCAAAATGTCATGTAAATGAAATACTAATTCATACATTCGTACTATTATTAGTTTATCTATTTTTTGTCATAGTCTTTTCACTAATCATATTTATTCTGATGCAAATATTTTTATGTATTTACATTCAAATGTTTTCCTGGTCCAAACAACACAGAATTATAATGATCAAATTAACTGTGTTTGCTTTACCAGGCTTTTGCCAGATGTTAGTCCCTCAGTCTGTCAATTAACTCTACCTATAGGATTACCTAATATCTGCACTCAAAGTGTGTACTTTCCTTTGCAGCAGAGATGTGTAGGTTGCTTGTATAAATACATACATACCCCTTTCTGAATTACAGCATTTCCACAAAGCCCACAAAGATAGTGTATGAAAAAGAGAGAGAGTGTCTATATGTGTCTGTATATTCGTCTCGCTGTCACTCTTTTACCTTCCGCGCTGCGTTAAGGTCGAAGAATGGCTTGTTCCTGACGCTGAAAGGCTCCTTAGTTTTGTCGATCTGTCCCATCTTTATTTTCTCCGAACGAGGGAAGATTATTTCCTTCTCTATACACAGGAGCCGTCTGCTGAAGTCACACTGACCAACCGGCTGGCCCTGCAAGACAAACAGGCAATCAGCATTAATTTCATTTTACAGCTGACACACAATTCAATTAATAAGCTACATGGTTAATCACAGTCGCGTCTGCGAGACGGGTTCATCATAAGCCAAGACATTAGCCTGTGTTTGAAAGAAACACTTGCAATAGTCATATCATTTCAGACAGACATGCATCATATCACACTTAATTTGCTTTTCTCTAATCTTAATTGACTGGTTGCCATCCACTGCCATGGCAACAGTGCATTTCCCTGTGACAGATGGGGAAAGCGTCAAAGTGTGTAAGTGTGCGCGCAGAGCAGCACATATTCTCTTTGAATATAGTGTGTGAATGTATGTATCTGTGCATTTGTTTACCTTTTGTTGCATCACGTTATTATGATGATTTATGTTATGTTTTTGCCAAATCAACTTAAGGTAATAACTGTAGATGAAGTCTTAGAGGAGTACTGGCTGTGAGATAATGAAGTAGTCAGAGTAGGAAAATAAATAGACAAATGCTATGCATCTGCTTTCACCTTAGTTAACATTATTAGATTAGCTAATTCATAATTTATTTAACTTCACACCTATTTGCTCAAACCAGTGGAGAGGTAAAGTACTCTCAGAGACCACCCTTTCATTTATTTAATTTCCAGACAAAATAGCCATTAAGTACTCAATTAATTGAGCTATTCACTTTCAGTGTCAGGAAAAAAGCCCACCCTTTGCCTTTATAACAGTTTCTGTTTTTTCAGGAGACTCAGTTCCAGTTACTAAAGATATCTGAAGGGATATTTTTCCACATCTCCAAAGTTCAGTCTTAGAAGTTGGTTGTATTTTGTGCCTCCCAAACATATTCAGTGGGGGCTGGGCAGCTCCTTTGTTTGATTTGCAAATGTTCCTTTTCTCAGTGAGGGCTTCTTGACAGATACACATTCTTTCAGACTCACAGCACTGAGTTGTTTTCTCACAGTGGAAGGAGGACAGAAACACCTGTGGATGTTTTCAGATCTGAAGCAAGAGTGGAGCTTGATTTTCCCCTCTCTCTCAAAGATGAAAGCTTTAAGTACTGTTTATCTGACAAGTTTTGGTGGGTAGTTGTTAAGAGTCTCATTTTCTCTGTATGTTCTGTGTTTTCTCACTTATTTTCCTTTGACTTACCCCTTCCTTATGCAAGTGGAACGTCTTCAGAAATATCTTATGAAAAATTAGCAAGTAACTTTCACTTAATGGTTGTTTTGACTGGAAATGAAATAAATTATGGGTGGTCGCAGACTTTTGCACAGTACCATATGTACATGCATGTCAGGCATATAACTATTAATTATGAAGTATTATAATTGACACCTTCTCCCTTTAAACGCTTTTTCTCCACCCCCCAGTGTCACCCACGTCTAAGGATGTTCATCCACACGTACAGTTGAGAGAGTAGAGGTGCCACTACAAGCGCTGCAAGTAATGAGTTGTGTATTTAATCAACCCATCCCTCTTTCCCTGTTGCTCTGCCAGCATCCGTCTCCATGGTAACAGTTCCCTCTAACACGCAGCTGTCCTGTTTGTCTCACGGCTGCTCCGCTGAGACCACAGGCCCAAACACAAGAGCGCACAGAATCCGACCTCAAGCCTGCTTAGGCGACCCTGCCGGATGACCTACGGCCCTTTGGTCAAAGCCCTCACTGACCGCCAATGACAGGGGCACGTCGGCGCTGGAATCGTTTCTTCAGGACCCAAATCGGCTTTGCTCGTGTAGCTCCACATCCAGGGAGCATCAAAGGGGCAGAGACATAAAACATTTCAAAGCGTTCCCATGTAAGATGAGACAAATTCGGAAGTTATGTCTGATGGCAAAACTTGAGATTCGCTTTGAAACTTTCCCTCAGTAACAGGCAATATATTTCAAAAGCATCGCCGCCTGCAAACATTTCCTAGATGAAACTGCCTTCCTTATCTGCTCTTCTCTGTAAATATATCAAAAGTGGACTAGATTAGTAAAAGAGAGAGAGGTGTGGTGCGTTATTGCGGAGTTTGTCATTCCTGATTGGGGTCTTTTTTGTATTATCTTTTATTTAACCAGGAAAACCTCACAGAGATTAAAAAACTCTTTCACGAATGTGTTAAGTGTTATGGGGCCAGACATGATGTCGTATTGAGAACGTTTGGGGACAAACATAAAGGCATGTAGATGTGTATTACATGTGCTGAGAACACATTATATGCAAAAAACATCACCTCTTACAAGGGAAAAACAGGACTTGGACAGTAAATAGCACTGTTTATAAACTGTATTAGATGCTTCAGTCCATATTTCGGGATACAGGATACAACAAATTCCAATCAGAATACAGCACACAGCTTGTTTTAGGTTTGCACATGCGAGATCTTAAGAAGATTCTGAGAACATTCACAATTTCCAGTTCCTTTGATTGATAAAATGACCTACATTAGAAGTAGGGCTTTATAAATTAGCAAGTACCAATAAATAAACCTATGTGAAGCCAAGGAAGACAAAGCTACTCATTAATAAAGATGATGATGTTGGGTAATAACCCTACAACTAGTAATAAATCTTACAGCACCATGGTTGTCCACCATTTTACAGGCTCCAAATATTTGTTGGTATTTCTGAACTTGAATATTCGTTCCCTAAATGATGCCTAAATAAACAGTGATATTTACATTTCATAATTATCTATTTTAAGTATATTTGTTATTGCAGTTCAAACTACATCCAGTAGGCAGCAATGCTGTATTGATAATCAGGCTGAAGCTCAGCTGCTTGTGTGCCGTATGTTATGACAGAATCTGTGTAGTCCTCTCTTTCGAATACAGCTTTTAGGAGTCACTTCTTTCAATTTTGTAGCGTTTATGATTCAGATATCTAAGTGTTTAGGTTATAACAAATCTGAGGCCGTGAGAGTGACACGCCGGCTGAGTTGAGCTGATGAGCTTTTGTAGCTTCAGGCTTATCTGAATGCAATTAGATGCAATAGTGGTAAGTGTTTGACGGGGTGGCCAGCAGGAGGGTTGGTGACCACTAGTCTACACAAATAACTATACTGCCTGTAAACCATATGAGAAATGCAAAAGCACTGGCAGCAGGTCAAGGCAGGCAAGGCTAGTGTGAATGTGCTTTTTAGGGCGTTTCATACTTGAACCATTTCAGTGTCTGAAGTGGACTCAGGCAGCTGAGTCATAGTTTTCTGCATATCTGTGAACATGTCAAATGAACACAGGCCCCTCTAAATGGCCCCAAAAATGAACTGAAACTAAGACCAACTCACAAGGTGGTCTCAGTTCGGTTTGTTTGTAGTTCATTTTGTGGTCTGACTGATTTTTGCAGTGTGAAAACAAAATGGCCTTAGTCCGCTTGTGCTTTATGGTAAAGACCTTGAGGCTTTCCATGCGTACACAGCACCAATCTTCCAGCACTTTAGCGGGTACAAACAGACCACCAAGGATCATTTATAAGGTACTACTCAGGATAAACCCTGCCCAATCTCGTGACAAGACAGCAGAGCTGACATTTTAAAGCCATAATATGCGAGAACCCGTGTGTTAAATCTAAATGCTAGGCATGCACCGAACCAGAGTATTAAGCTGGTTTCACAATGAATGTTAAATGAATAAAAATTCACTGCCGCTCTTCCAAACATCTTATTTTATGCAGACGCAGATTTTCGCCTGGTGGAGCTAAGTGATGAGCACAGCCTAAAACGGAACCCACTGTGGCAGATACGGAGGGTCATTTTTCTGGTTTTCACTTTCACCAGTCATTTCAACGCGGCCAACAGGAGAACAGCAGGCGGGTCTGGTTGTCCCTCTGGCCACCTGAAAGGTTAGTTTTATCAGAGAACATTGCCCACTTGTGCACACCGTGAGTGGTGTGAAAGGGGTCTGAGTTCTAATGGAGTTGTGGTCTGAACAAGAAGTGGTCTGAGATCTCATGAGCACTAAAAAGGACGAGAAAGGAGAAAGGGTTTCATTGTGAACGCAAAAAGCAGTGAGATCATTTGCAATTGGTCCCCTTTCAGGTTCACTTTAACAGAACTCAGCTCGGATCATTTAAAAGAACTATAAGTGAAAACACTCCTAAACGTTAATCGCTCCTGCATTAACATGCTTTTGGCCACTATCATCGGTGAAGTTCTAAACGATTCAGCACCACGGCCAGCTGCTTCATTGGAGAGTCATGAGTTGAAAACCTGATCCCATCCAGTACTCAAGAAATCTTTCAACAGGAGAAAGCAAGAGTGCACGAGAGAGTGTGCGTATGTGAGTGATGGAGGCATGCCAAAATCATCCACTAGAATCTACTTTCCATTTGCAATTTCCCAATTTTCCCTCAAGTGCACCAGGGTGAGAATCAGAGATGCAGGGTCCTGGCTGGAAGCTTTCAAGTGCAAATTGCCACAGAGCAGTCGATGAAAACACATATTGAGGTTTTTTGTAATTGAGTTGAAATCTTTAGTGTCACATTCTGGGTCACATAATGAAGGATGCAGAGAGGGAATGACAGAGGAGATGGATGGATGGATGAGAGGAAGGAAAAATCAATAGAGATGATAGACTGGGACTTGAAACGAGAGAGAAGTAGGAGGATAAAAGAAAGAAGGTAGCAGAAAGAATAAAATATTCAAAAGGGGTGAAGGCAGGTGCTTTTCAATTATTTGCTTGCACTTATGTGGTATTTAACAATATGAACAATATGTTGATCAGGGAAAATACAACACATTAAGGCTAACAAATATGGATTTTTGGGAGATGGTATTTTATAACATTCGTCATTTTTTTCAAGTACGGTGAAGTATTAGACAATATCTGAGACCGCAAGTAATTAAACACTAGTGGTGTCATGATACACGTTTTTTTATATGGGGGTCGATATGTGCACTGAATCGAATACAGTTAGATTTCATGCTATAAATGTGTGAAAGCAGGAAGGGTTAGTTCTACGTAACACAGACCTTAATAACTAATAAAAGTAATAACCATCAATGTAAAAAACTGCTGCA